GAACAAATTTGTGCTAATGAAAATTTATCAGCTAGAAGTTATGTAGCTAAAAGGAACTCTTTACTTCAAGGAAAATGTTGCTCTGCTTTTTAAAAGGAATTCTCTTCCTGACTCATCCAAATACAAAAAAGCAAACAGAGAATTAGAATAAATACCAGAATGAAGCAAAGAAACAAAAATCACTGATGTTTTCCCTTCTCTTTCCCAAGATCTTGAGGCTTAACTTGCTTGGGGCTGAGTTTTTTAAATAAAAAAGTAAAGTTATTGTACTAGATCAGTGACTTTAATTAGGAAAGATATTCTGGTGGTGAACATGGATGGTATGGGGGGAAGGCTGTACATTAAAATCCCCTGTGGAGCTTTATCCTCCATTTAGAACCTCTGCCTTTCCTGATGCTAAGCATCCTTATCTTGGTGAGTCACTATTATTTATGGGAGGTTTACTTCTCAGGTGGAATGGGAATGGTGGACAGACTGAGAATATTTGGATTACATGATCTCCTTTACTTGTTCTAGCTCTGACATTCAATAACAAACGCTTTCAGAAGAAAATTACTTTCTATTCATGGACTGCTATTCACTCAGCAGCCTTTATGAATCAATTCAGAAAGCAAGCAACCATGATATTCTTGAAAATAAATCACTGTGCAAGTGAAATCAGATAGCAGAAAAGAGCAGAATTATTTCTTTAGAGATGAATCTAAAGTTTAGATTTATTTCTTATTGATATATAACAATTCCATCAATAAATTTCAAACCTATGTACTATTCTACATAGGAATATTTAACTTCCTATTTACATTTTAAAAGCATCACTAAAACATGGCTTTGGGTATTAGAACAATTTTGTCACTGAGAAGAAACTGCTTTCACCTATTTCCTTGCTGCTGTATTCCCAGTGTTGCCATGACTGAAAAATAAAGGATGTTGTAATATTACTTCATCCTAGCTACTTATAGAATAAAATATGATATACAAACATTAATGAGAAAAGATGAATATAATAAAGATGCAAAAAAGCTGAATTTTCAAAGGTTTTTTTTAGTAATGCTTTTTCTTTCCAACATAGTTTAATGCATATATATCACACACATAACAAACACAGACACTTATACACACACACACACACACAGAGGTATGCTAAAAATTCAACAATTGGCTCTCCAGGGGAAAAAAGTACCCTGATTTGTATTTAGTCAATTTCCATTTCTTAAATCCTGCATGGTGCACTTCAAGCTATCAGCATGAGGGCAACAGACTCATACTTGGGAGAGATGTGCACAACTGGCTCTCGTGAGCTGGTACTCAGCTCCAGCTGCATCCAGCCTATGCTTCTACCTGAAGCATACAAAGATATCATGCATAACTATGCTATATAATATATAGTATACATATGACTTCTTGAAATTAAGCCATGAATATTTTTCTTTAAAGTCATATAATGATGATTGAATCCACAGTCATTTAACTCTCAATTGGTTAAACCAGTCAACAATAATTTAGGTCATGTGTATAAGGCAGATAACTCATGACTGTTACAGGTAGTTCTAATGGTTAAAAAATGGTTTGGCCTTCTCACGTACAGGCAAGCCTATGCAGCATATTTCAGAATTAATCATTAACACACTAAAATAAACTGACCTGCAAAAAAATTTAGGGACATACATTCCCCAAAATGAATAAATCAAATAACCACGTGGAAGCAGCAAAGTCATCTGAAGCATGAGCGAATGCCCACAGCAGCGATTCGCATACTTGACTCTTGGCTCATTTACCTTCATGGTGATTGATAGGGTGACTCAATATTTACTGGCCTATGAATGCACTGAACTGTGTACTGTATTAAAGCTATGATCCTGTCTTGAATTATGTCTTTGGAATAGCCTCATGCTGAATGAGGACCTGAGCAGCAATTTTCAAATTAATAAATATTTATCAAGCTACTATTATGAGGAGCAAGGCACAGCACTTAGACGCTATAGGTCCACAAAGATGAATACATAGTCTTTCTTCTCAATGAATTTAAAATCAATAAGGAGTAATATTTTAAATGCAGGGACTAGTAGGACCCATAGAAAGGAAAGATCCTATTCATTGGGAAGATATGAAAAGTCTTCTGGGACAATGTGAAAATAATTTGGGACAAGATAAGAGAACACTTGAGAATAATTTGATAAGAAAACACTTTAGAATGGAATGCTCCAAGAGGTCAAGGAAGAGAGTGGTAATGTAGGACCCTAGAGGGGTTTAACATGAGAGGTAGAAAAACTTGTGATGTGTCATTACAGAGGGCCTTCAGTGTCAGGAAGAAGTTAGGCTTACAGTGTAAGTGATGCAAAGCCATCGGAGAGTGCTGGTCAGTAGAATTCTTGAACAAACCTATACTTTTGAAAGATCAATTTGGCAGAGACTGAGGTCAGGAAATCAGAAAAATTTCAATCATAGTGGTGTTAATGGGAAGGAAACAGATGTATGACTTGTAGCTAGCAAAACTTTTAGGAGGAAAAGTGACCATCAGTGATAATCTAAATATGGAGTAAAAGATCAGTTGGGGATTTCAGGCTCGGAGGCTGGGAAAAAAGAGCTGGCAGTAACAGGAATAGGAAAGTAGAGGGAAAAATTTACTGTTGGAGTGGATCTAAATAGAGTGGTATGTTTGATTTTAAACAAATTGAATCCAAATTGGCAGCTATCTCATACATCCTGGCCCAATATTCTGATTTCTCTAAGGCTAAGTCATATTCATCATTAAATAATTCAGTGGAATGCATTTATTTTTTAGTCCTTCCAAAAATAACAAACTGCTATATAAACTAGTCTTTGGCTTTATTCCCCTTAAATGTACTTGCAAACATAGAAGGATTTACTTGGTCTAGACCTTAGTCCACCCATGCATAGCATGCAGAAATTGTATATGTCAGGAAAACTATCCAACACTTGGGATTAGGGCGACTATGCAACCTTTTAATATCAAGCTTCAGCATTTTCTACCAAGTCCACCTGAGAGTCATCAGGCTGTTTTATAGAACATAACTTTGACTTAATATTCTCAACTGATTAGGATTCAGATGTTTTACAACACTATAAACTAGAAGAAAACTGATAAAGTAAAACCATGTTTTATTCTGCCTTTTGAAAAGGTAACCACAAAGTTAGGTTGAGCTGCCCTGTAGGACATTTACAAGTTTTTATTTACCTTAGTGACTTTATTTCAGCATTCTTTCTTCCACAGATTACAGAAACCCTAATTTCTCATATCTTCACTGAACTACCTTTGCCATTCTGCCAATTTCCTCATTTATGTGTTAAAAGAAACTTCTATAGGTACTCACTTTGTTTTTGCATAGGAATTATGCCTTAATTGTATACAAACTTTGTTCCTTTACCAAATATTTAAACTTTTCTTCATATGGCAGACCACTCCCTTTAATGGCTAGTTGATCTCATGTACACCATCCCCAGCCCCATTTTGCCTTCCCTGAGCTGTACAGGTTTTCATAAAATGAATCATGGGAACAAGATTTTTGTAGAAGTTTCGTGAGAAGTACTGAAAAGAGAATAGTGGATTTTATATCATCGCAGATTAGCTGTTGTGGAGACCTGGTTGGGTTGAGGGAAAATGGAGGTGAAAAAAGAGCATGATGGGGAGTCCTAAGGTAGGCGGCATGTTTCTGAGCTCTTTGAAAAAAGAAAAGGGTGTGAATTAATGATAATTTGAGCTAAAGATGACTAGAAGAGACTCTGCTAAAACTTGTCCAGCCAAATATGATACCAGGCCACCCTTCACTGTAATCTGATATTTCAGCTTCTAAATTATTACAGGAAAATATGTTCTGGCCATTACGGGAACTCTTACGATGAGGAGTATTTCTGCCTGGGCAGATGGCATCCTGAGGCTGCTGGGTGCGGTCTGGGGGCTCTCTGACCAGCAGCAGACAGAGCATGCCGCTAAGTCAGAAGCAGCTTCTGCAGACTTGAGTGGGTCTGTATGCCGGGATGAATAAGAAGGGCAGGCAGACAATCCCAATGATTCCCCTAAGCCTCTTTAAGGAAAGAAAAAACTTGGGATAGAATTGAACATTTCTCCGAGTCTAGAGGTGAGAAAACATGTCATAACTGAACTGTGTCTGTTTGGGGGCCATGGCGGTTGTGGGTGCAAACAAATTATTCAAAAAGCACTATCGTATGAAGAACTGGTTTATGTATCCTACATCTTTTCCCCTGCAACTGTTTAAAGTGCATGGGAAAAAACTGTTAATCAGATGCAGGACACCACATTCATTTTCCTCCTAACTAATCATGTGTAGCCTACATTCTTGCCAGCATAAGTTCAGTATAGTTTAAAGCTGAAGATAAGCCATGACATTTTCTAAAACTCTTTATACATTCTATTTATATTCAGAATGTAGGTCTTAATAAAAACATATAAGCATTAATAAGCATAAGTAAGTTATCTCAAATAATCCTAAAGCACATTACTAGGATTAGCAAGATATATACATGTATGTACAAATGTGTGTTAGATTCTGTAGATCACAGACTGAAAGATTTTCCATGCTGATTTTAAAGCCCTTCTTGATTGATGCTTCAACTACTGTCACACCAACCTTGGAAAGAGTTCAGTGGAGTGAGTGAGCTCAGAGATTTTGGCTGGAGGGATTCCTTACCTCTACGTAGACTTGCTGGTTGAGAGGGCATTCTGACTCCTCATTTTGATGAGGATAAGTTACCCTTTAACCAGCCCATGTTAACATTTCCTCAAGATTCACCATTATCTTAAACTAGTTGTGAAAGAACTGAAGTGCTAGGTCATCACAATTAGAATAATCAGAATGAATGCCACACTGAATATCAAAAGGAATAAAACTAAAATCATTAGATCTAGTTATGTGATATTTGTTCATATGCTTTATAAGCAGTATTATTGGCCACAATCCCTCTTCCAGGCCTAGAAGAATACACAAGTACTGGTTCATAGGTTATTCACTGAGAGTGAGTACCTGAAGGAGAAGGTTGTCCTTTTACAACACCATTTTTAGTCTTTTCTTCTGAATTCATAACTTCCTTGTAGATAAGTTCTGTAAGAAACAGTTATCAGTGCTATAAAAACAAATTTCTCCTTAATCCATACAGAAAATTTATTAATGACAAATAATAACATTTTGATGGGGTTGAGTAAATTTTAAACTCATAGGGATTCCTTTACTTCTGTATTTCTACATTTCTTGCACAATCACAGAGCCTGGCAAAACTAGGTGCTTAATAAAACATTTGACCAAATAAATTTATGGAGAATATAATTCTTTTGGAGATCTGATGCATTCTAACTTTATCTCTTAAGGATCTTTTGTTCTTTTTTATTCATTCATTAAGAGATGTGCATATTCTCATGACTTTAAACTATTATTTTCCAAATCTCACTTCTTTTTTCCAGACTCAAATCTTAGGTTAAAGCTAACCTTGCCTAAAACCATACATTAAAAACTATTATATTTATTCCCAAACTAACATCCATTTTTGCTTTTTTTTTTTTAACTAGAATTGAACTTGTATATCTTCATTTCTTTCTACTTTACCCCCTTTAGATAAAAATAATTCAATAATACACATTCTTGCTTAGCAATGCCTTGCAATTTATATAATCATCATCTTTTATGTATATTTCTTTCTCCAGTTTCTCACAATTTAGTCGATGTCTGTCTTCCTCAAGTGATTTGTTTCTTTACACTCACCTACTCAAACAATACCCTAAGAATGCCTCCTTGTCCTTATTTAGGTCGAGTGTTTTCTCTCTACTATTTAGCATCATTTTTTACTATTTATATGTGTTCATTTTCAATATTCTCCAAAGGGCCCCTTGATCAGTGGAACCCTTTACTAACTGTATAACACATTTTGTTCATTCCTACCTTTCACCTCCCCCATATGTCCCCATTCTGGTATTTTTCTCTGCTTTTTGTTTTCCCAGTTTACAATCACTAATTCACTCAAGGTAGCTCCAACATTTCTTCCCTCCAGATCATCCCTTTATGTTCCCCCTCATTTTGTCATGATGTTATGATAACAAACTAATCACTTGTTGTGATGTGCATTTGGCTTTCTCATATTTATTCTCTTCTGTAGTTATAATAGTTTAACAATTTAGTTTCTGCTTTGTTTTACCGTGAGTATAATCTTGAACATGCAGTTTGTGTTTGGGAAAGTTTTGCTGGAAAAAAAAAGAATTAATATATTGATTCATTCTTTTTTTACTTTAAAGGAGAAATAAGTCTGTCACTTAGATATACATATTTTCTAATTTAATTCTAAAGTTCTATAAATCAAGTGAATGAATTCAAACACTAGCTATATTTTATAATGTCTAAAATCATCTCAATTTTATCCATTTTATATGATCATTTTATGTACAAACATGGAATATTTAACTGTGAAATTTCAAATTGAAGCCTGCCCTCCATCATGACAAATACTTTGATAAGCAATACTATTTAAAAGTAATTAACTCATTTCATTACTGAGGAAATATAATATTGTCATTAGTATGAGAAATAGATGAAGTTTTAGGAGTTTCAAAAATAGTCTGAGGATAGCAATTCTAAAATCATCTGTTGCTAAATTGTTTTAAAAGGAATATCTTTGACAATACTTCCTGAGTTTCAATAAAGCCATAAGTATATTTTATTTAACTAGCAGAGTCACCTTTCCATTCTTCAATGGTGTGTTCTCTCTCGTCCAACTGTTTGTCATAAATCTGAGGTGGAGGCTACAGAAGAAAAAAAACAGTAAGTTTTGTGTAATAACCCAAACATAACCCAGTCTTACAGCAGATGGTGGTGCCGGGCTGTTCATTAAATGCTATTCGGTGGTGGCGACCATGATACCATATAAATCATGGAGTCATTACAGTGGCACAGAGGTTAAACTTTCCCCACAAACTTATGGAGGATTCATTTATATGCCAGAGTTTGCTGCTGACCAAATAAAGCAGCAGACTCCAAATCCTGAGAGTTCACATCCCCAAACCTTCTGATTCAAAACCCAAGTGGAAGCAAGTAACAGCCAGTTTTTAAAAAGCAAATGAGACACTTGATTAAAAGGGCCTATATCTGCTTCTTCCATTCATTTGCACTATAGCAGAACCCTACTAAGATTTTGTTCTGTTTTTAGACCGTCTTGAAGAATTGTCTTTAATACCCTCAAAAGACCATAGCACTTGTTCTCAGTATAAAGGAATACATAGATCTAATCAACCTTGTACTTTTTTCTGAAGCATAAAACCTTTACATACAGCTGTGTGTCCTATATTGAAATGATTTAAGATATTTTTTCTCCTCAAGCAGAAGATGCTACCAGTTGCCTAAAGAGGTGGACCCCCTTGCACCCAAGTGGCCCCTTGGTTAGCCTTCTCTGGGAGATACGATATGACAGAACCTTCAGTCTGACTATGGTATCAGCATTCTTCTTGCTATGAGGAGCTCAGAACCACAGAAACACTGATGCTGCCCAGCAAGGGGACTGGGATGACCAGGCACTGCCCTCAGGACCCGACTGAGGCAGGACCTTCCACCCCAAAGTATAAATGACTCCTAAATTATAGGAATAGTGTGATTTGATGAGTGAATGAGTAAAACGAGATTATTTTTGCAAATGTGTGAACCTGTCATCTAAATCCGCTATGCAAAGCCAAACTCTGTTTATGTAAAGACGCCCTGCCAAGTGGCAGGTTTCCTGCTTTGCCTCTTCCTGAGCAAGCGTAATGCTGACATGAGGTCACCTGCCAGACACCGTGGGCACAATCTCTCAGAGGCCCCCAGAGCTCTGCACACTTTCTTCTTCTAACAATGTACTCAGCTAGGATTCTCTGTGGCTGACTTCTCCAGGCAGTGGATTTTTCCATTCAAGTTTGAAAACTGAACATGGCTCAAGAGTACATCTATAAACTATGCCAAAGTTTGCAAATGCCATTTTCTCTTTGCAACAAAACTATTTTAAGAGAGGTTTTCCTTGGAGCTTTAGCATACAGCTATTGCTGATGCATAAAGCACAAAGTACATAGATTCTAACCACAAACAAACAACAAAGAAAGAAAGCATTGAACACAAGACTTTTCCTTTCAATAAACCAAGAGGGCTGCTTTAAACACACTTGCATTATAGTTATGGTCAAAAGGGCTACAGGTTCAGGGGTTTTCTGTTTGTTTTTAAGAGGAAGTTCAATCTCCTGCTGTGGAAGACTACACTGACATAAAGATGTCTTCTATATAACAATATAACAGAGTAATTCACCAATAATCCAAAGAGAGTAATGTCATATGTATCTATGTGCCTGGGCAGCAATCCTTAGCATGTGATGGTCCCTAACACTCCTTGACTCTACCTGTTAAAGACAAGCTAGTGTTCTATCACTCAGTTGTTTCATTTCCCTACCTATTAAACAGAAAATGATTCTCTCTTTTCAGGTAACAATCTAATTTAAAAAAGATACTGGGAGTGGAGATAAAGAGGAGTACTCCAGAGAGTATTTTAAGAGAGTTTAGTAGATTAGAACATTTTTTGATGTGAGAAAATTAAGGATGAGAAGAAATTAAGGATAATATAAGAAGAGTTGTTAGGGCTTGTGACTTGCATGCTTTTGAATATTCTTCAAGGGACTGAAGATTTCCTCTTTTATTTCTGGAGATTTTGACTTCTACTTCCTTGACTGAAACTCTTGCAGAAATTGAACCACAATTCATATGAAGTGCATATGAATTCACATGAATTACTTAATATGGATTAAATATACTTTATTATTTATCATATATTAATTAGTATATATTCATGTGCAAATTGTTTTTGTTAAATGAGAAACACATGGACAAATAGTCATTTTAGTAAATATTATAATTAATTTATTCATTTGTAAAACTCATTCATTCAGTAAAAGTCTTGAGTACCTAATATGTGCCAGATATATGAGAAATGAAGATTATAAAACTGTATAATGTGACTGCTGACTTCAAGGAGCTTGAAATTTAGTGGGGTAAGACTGATGCAAAACAGATAATGTGCAGTATGACACAATCTGAAGGAAATACATACATGGTATATGGGGGCAGAGTAAAGAAACCTTAACAAAACTCTAGCAAAACCTTTTCTGCTCAGAGCAGATGACATCTGCACTAGTTTAGGGAGCAAAACATGTGTAAGAGTTTGTCAAGATGAAAGGAGAATGGAAAAGGATGACTCCAGGCCAAAGGCACAGAATCTGTAAAACACAGTGGTGGTGGCCGTGGCTCATGTTGATCTGTTTGGGTACATGCGCATGCACATGCAAAGAGAACTGGAAGCAGCTCTGAGATAATAAAATATAACATACGTGGTCAGAAATGGCAAAAAGGCTGTGCCTAGAGAAGCAGATGAGTCAGGCAAAGGCTCGATCAAGGATAAGGGTCTGGTTACCATGATGTGGAAAAAAGACTTCTTCCTGCAGCGGAAGAGAAACCACCGAGGAACATAAGAGAACAGCATGGCCAAATCTATGGCTGGGTTGAAGAAAGACGAAACTGAAAGCAGAAAGAAGAGTTAGGAAGACTGCATGATCTAGAAAAAATGTTTAAAGGTCTGTCTGGAGTAAGGAATGTAAGAATGGATAGAAAATATAGATTCAAGGATAATTAATAAATATTAATAAATCAAATCGGTAGAATTTTGTTTGATTGAAGGTGTTCAATGGGAAAGAAGAATGACTTGCAGATTTCTAAGCTGAGTAGCTGGGCAATTTCATTGGAGGAGCCGTCTCAAGAAATAGAGAAGGAAAAGTGGGAGTGACATTGGTAAGGAGGTGAGCCTTAGTGCCACGTGGGCAAAAATGTCTGTTTGAGAATTAAATATACAATCTAATGTTCACAGAAATGCTGTTGGCTAGAGATGTAAAGATTTGAAACTATTAGCAAGAGGTGTTTGGTAAACTTAAGATAATAGAAGAGGTCACTCATGGAAGGTGTGCAGAAAAGAGTAAAGGGCCAGAGTGGACCATGAGGCACCAAGGTTTCAAGGTTGACCAGAGGAAGTTCAAGTCTACAAAGAAGATGATGACAAAGAAGGAGGAGGAGAAGGGGAGGCGATGGGGAAGAACGAGGAAGAGAGGGACTTAGAGAAATTCGTGGAGAATGAGGATAGTGCAATGTTACAGAACTCCAGTGATCGAAGAGTCCAAAAAGAGGAAGTAAACTGGCATTTCCTTGTGAATGAAATAAATGAAGACTTGGGCTTTCACACACCAGAAAGGCATGGCATGCCTTTGAGCCCATAAAGATTTCCACACTTCAAAATTGCCATCACACCCAGAAATATTCAGATAGATCCTTCGCTCAGGATTAACTAACATTAATATGAGAGCGCACCTTAAAAATTGGAACAAGACTAGAAGACATATCCTCCATACCAATACAGATATTGTCCATAAATAAAACAAAAAGGACCTGCCGAGCAGAACTGAGGAGAGAGAAGACAGCTCTTATGCTCTCAGATCCGCTCTCCCAGTCATCTTAGAGGACTTGTAAGTGAAAAACATTGGTCTGTACTAATTAAAGGAAGTCCCTTTATTTTTTCTAAGAAGATACCATATGTTAGGCTCTTTCTAAGAAGATACCATATGCCCTAATAATGCTCTTATCGGGAAAGTAAAATTCAAAGAATTTTCTTCCAAATTTCTTGAAGTCACATAGCTAATTAATGATGGAACTTGATAAAATCCCAGTTTAAGAATAATTCAGAGCAAATAGTAATTGAGATGAATTTTAAAAATAAGGGACAATGAAACAATATTTAAAGCAAAGATCTTTATAACAAAAAATAGAAACACAAGCAAATAGAGTGACTGTGTGTCTTCATTTGCCCAAAACACTCCCAGTTTGTGCTGGTTGTCCTTGCAGTTGTTAATAATAACCCTCAGCCCCTTCACCCTCATAAAAATTAGGTGGATGATTATGTGAGCACCCTACATAGCCATATGTAACATGGCATATTAGAGATCTCAGCATACTGTAATTAGAGGATGGAGAAAACAACTGAATTGCAACATTGCTTTTTGACCTCTAGGGTCTCAGTAACTGCAGCTGTGCCCTTTGCTGCTTTAAAACATCATGTCAGCATTTCCTCCCGTCTTCTCCATTTTTAGGAATGTAAAATTCAGCTATAAAATACAGTTCTTGCCAAAAAGTACATAAAATGGTCCAATTCTACATAATAAAACTGGAATTGGGGAACATGAATTCTGTTGGTCTTCTCTTGAGTTCTTGCTGCTGGGCATGATTTCTTGCTGAAGAGATCTCTTTAGTCAGTACCTACTTAATCCCTAATGACTTCTTTTATATCATAGATTTAAATAGCACTTTCTCACTGAGTAAAATGTCTGAATGTATTCTTTCCTTAATCTTCAAGATAATCCTATTTTCACAGCATTATAGAATGTTAGTGATGGGAAAAAGTTTAGAGATTATCTAATGCCGCCCTTGTTCAATTTGCAAATCAGTATAAGTGATTGGTCCATGGTCATAGAGTTAATTCGTGGCAGAGTTATGGATAAAATGCATTTTCTCTTCTGGGAAAAGAAGGAATGAAGGAATTCTTATGGGTTGAAGAAATGTTAAATTGAATAACACCACTTACAAAAGATTTTCATTAGTAACAAATTTGAGCCTGCCACTCTGATTTCTGTACCAATTTTCTGTCACTCTACACATGTAGCTCTATCTGGCAAATATTACCCCAGTGGTCAACA